ATCTATCTATCTATGGCGTGAATGCTGTGCGATTCTGCCATTGCTGTGAGGCTGAACGGCCACGATGTCCTGGGTTGTACTTTGCATTTGCCAATGGCGCTTCAGGACGGCCCAGCCTGCGGACCACACATGGCAACTCACAAGTTTTCAACAGCAGGGAGCACACTCTTGTTTCATCAACTGCGTTTTGTCTAACAAACGTGTAAGTTCCACAGTTTGACCCGCACAACGCACCTGTAATTCCTGACATCATTGTTGTATAACCATGCACGCTTCATTTGCAAGCATTGACCGCAGGGCGAGGGCCGCAAAAAGGAGGCAGCATCACATGTCAAAAGCTGCACGCTAGCACCCCCCTGGGATCCGGAACAGCATGCTTGCGTGATTTGACCAGCCCACCCAAACATCGATCTCATGAACACCAGCAGCCCATGAAAATGTCTGGCCACCACGGTCTCTGTGTCACTTGTCAATTGCCGGCCGCGTGGAAGCGAATATGCAGCTTGCGCAGCATTTTGCAGACAAGCGTTGAGCCTGAGGGCGTTGACACTTGCCGCATGGGCAAGGCGGAATGTGAAGGGCCAGCTGCAGCTAACAGCTGTGTGCATCTGTTGTGTGAAGAAGGTGGGCGAAATGAGTACGTAGGGCCGTCTGACCCAGCTAGTGCAGCTTTGCAGCAGCGATTGACAACTCAGTGGACATGCATGCCACAGGTGTGAGCGCGCGTGCATGCAGGCGAACTGGGTTGACCATGTTGACCCAAGCTGCATTGCAGCCCGGGGGCTGTGGAAATGAACAATGTGGCAGCATGGACGCTCACGTTGACTGTGCGTTTGATGAGCAGTCCATTGTGGGTTCACACATACGGCTGGCGCTGAAATTGCGTTCCTTGGCGTGGGGTCAGCCGTGTCCTAGTGTGCACTCGTGCATGATACCAATCACCCCGCCCCCGCGTCGTCTGACCGCAACTGTTACGCCAGTCGCTGATGGGCTCGTCAGTGCAAGCGATGCAATCGCGCATTGCCTCAATTGTAACCCGTTCAGATTGTGAGAGAGCATGCCAGCTTGAGCTACGGTAGATCACTGATCGGTCTGGCTGATCTGCAGCACTGTGTCCTCTGCAATTATCACGTATACGAGATCGCAATGACTTCATTTCTGCAGTTGCAGTCGTTCAGCCCGCCGGCTTGGGCCAAGGGGCTGATCGCGGTGAGGGCGGTCGACACGATTCATGGCCAGCATGGCGGCGGCGCTTGGGTCTGTTGCGCTGTTGCAGGCCCAGGTGTCAACCACTGCGTCCCCATGACGAATGGAGATGGAAATGTGTTTACTTATCAAACTACTGCGTGCACTCGCATGCATAGCAGAAGTGAATTGCCCCTAAACAATGTGCAATGCACAAGTCTCTCACAACACCCTGTTTCTGCGCCCGGCTCGGGCGCGCCCGCACCCACTTCAACGGCCACGCCCGTGCTCCGGCCCGCGCCCATCCCCACACCGTGTAACGCCGCAGCCGGCGCAGCGCTACCGCCTGGGCATCCTTCCGACGCCCATCCACCGCTTCTCCCCGCCGGGCGTGCCGGCCGACGTTGAGTTGTGGATCAAGAGGGACGACCTCTCAGGGATGCAGATGAGCGGCAACAAGGTGGGCGGCTTGGTGAAACAGGACACATCCACACAAACTTGCACACGCCTTACGTACATGCACATGCACGTGCACACACACACATGTACACACACACGCACACACACGTATTCACCCATGCGCACACACACGCACACGCACACACACGCACACACACACACAC